AACCCGCGGGGCGACTCCCCCCCCCCCCCCCCGGTGTGGCTTTGCCGCCTCCTGACCCAGTGAAGGGAACACCTAAGGCCCCTAGGAGAGGTGGAAGTCCCTTGAGATGCACAGCGAGGAGGGAAAGAGAAGTGGCCGCAGGAGAACAGAGAGAAGCACAACTGCCCAGGAAACCTTTCAAAGAAGGGTCGGAGGCTGAGATGAGGTCTGGAGGAGAGGCACTTTTGCTTCTCCAGGATCCGGCTGGGGGATGCAAACGGCTGAGCTTGCTTCCGGCCCCCCGCTGAACAAAGCAATGTGGGGTTGGGTGGGCCAGAGGGGAGAAGGCGGCCCATCAAGCGCAGAGGCTGCACGCCAGATGGGGACTCGGCGTGGGTCTCGTCCAGCCGGAAGGCCAGACGTTCCCAACCCCCTGAACGAAGGATTCACCGAAGCAGGGAGCGCTCAGAGATATCCTTCAATTCCTCCGAATGTGGAGGGGTTTACACAGTGGGGCGAGACAACCGTTTCTTTCCCTAGGAGAATATCCAACCCAGCAGATTTCCCTGCATGGAGGGGGGGAGGCATTTTCCTCAGAGCCAAAATGGATAAACTGGAAAATGGAGAACAGCACACGTAGATAAGAGGGAAGCCCCCCCCCCAAACCACATATCGGACATGTGTTGTTGTTTTTAAACTGTGTTTTAGACAAAGAACCCAAACTTCGCACAGCGCCCCATGAAGATGCCAGCTCTAGCAAAGCACGGAAAGATAATAAAGAGGCGGCGAAGGAAAACGAGGAACGATAAAATAGCCCTTCCTAAGCTGGTCGGAAAGCAGTCCGGCCACCTGAGTGTGTGTATGGAGGGGGCCCGGCGTGGAAGGATGTTCTCCCGACCTGATGTCCAGAGCCCTTAAGACGATTCAAAAAGTCATAGCCCTAAGAGGATGCAGGAGCATCCAAATCAATGGGGCAAAGGAGTGAGTGGGGAGATCAAAACCCCTGGGAGGGGGTTCTGGGGGGGGAAGCCATGGCCCCACGGTCAGGCAGGGTGGATATGCAGCACTTTCCAGGCAAAGGTAACTAGCACAGCAGCACAGCTGGGGCTCCTCCAAGCACTAGGCAGGACTGCCAGGTAAAACCAGGTGGCAAGGAGGCCACAGAACAGTCGCATGCGGTGGGGGAAGGGGAGGGTCATCGCATGCTGTTGAGCCCCATCCATTTTTATTGAAGTCAGAGGGCATCTGATGAGATGCCCAGGGCAGCTGCCGAGCCGGTCTGATATTTTCTTGAGCACCAGCCATTCTTGCATGGGAAATTCCAGTTAAAGTCCGGAGCATTGTCAAGCTTTCAGCCTCTTTTTTAAAAGCTAAGATGCAGCTCATAACCAAGTGCTTAGGGCTGAGCAACAGAGAGTTTTCCTACAGTAAGTCTTGGTACAAAGTTCCTTTTAATTTTTTTCCCTTGGATGGCAACATCTAGAATCCAGCAATCCGGATACCAGCTGGAGGACGTTAGGATTTGTCATCTAGAAAAGCTTGGTCTTTTGCTTCCTCAAAGAATCACCCTTATCCACATATTATTTTTTTCCCATTTCTCTGGGGAGATGCTACCTCTCAAACAGGGTGCGCCAGGGTTATAGCGCAGAGCTCCCCATTAGCAGCTCAACGGTACAATTT